CACAACTTCAAAAGCCATCCACAGCCATCTATATCGATCTTATCTCGCTATCAAGAAGGCTCTTACTTTTTATACTTGCCCTTGTTCCCACAGTGGAGTTACAGTTGAAAATAGACTCGGTGGTAGAAATAGAGTTGTCGGTATTCGACACTCACTATAAGAACTCTGATTTTATCCATTAATGGAATCTGAAAGAAAATGATAAAATTAAAAAAAAAAAGTTCTTTTTCAGAGCTGTCTCTGATTAACTCTATCAAGAAGATATAATCAATGTCCGTGATATAGACCCCTTTTTATCAAATTATTAACATCTGCCTAAAACTCCGTGAATAATTTCATCTTATCGTAAACGTTTTTATCTACGAAAATTATTAGGAATGGGATATTTTGTCATTCAATTGATTAATTTGATGAGATACTAAACATTCATAATTACCTATATGTCATCCGAAAACTCTTGAAATTGGGGCTTTTTCAATCTGGAGGGAGGCAAACTTTGTCAATTTAATTAGGTACTAAAAAAATCGTAAATATCCATTTGCTTTCTACTTGAATCGCAAAATAATTTGATCACAAAATCGAAAAAACAGGTGGTCTACAAAAATATTGGACTATTTGTCCTATATGATCTCGTTATTTTGATATGTTATCGGTAGAGGTCATACCAAACGGCCCAATATTTTTGTCGGCTTCTATTTTCTCGATATTTTTATCAAATTAAATTACGATTCAAGTAGAAAGGAAATGGGTGTTTATGAGTTATTAACACCTATTTAGCTGCAATTTACCGTTGAAACCTCCTCCCCTCCAATAAAATTAAGATTGAAATGAAGCTATTCACGAAGTTTTAATAATAATTTGATAAAAAGAGGTCTATCACTGATAAACGACTAAAAATGATAATATTGTTTAAATAAAACACAATTGTTAACATTTGAATATCTTTATATATCTATTTGATTTAAAAACTACAATTAAAGAAAATTTTATGGACTGTTATGCAAACTAAAACAATCTTTCAGTTGCCCATTAATTCACTTTCAAACCCATTTTGAAGCATTGTTCCCAGGCAATAAAAGCTGAAAAAAAAAAAAAAAAAAAAAAAATGCAATATAGTAGATGAACAGAAGAATTTAGGTAGCCACAAATACTTGATATAGATTATAAAATACAAGTATTTATTTTCATATGAAGTCAAATATTTAAAGTCTAATTTTTATATTTATTTATAGAAGGGAAAACATGAAATTTATACTTTAAATGAATTTATCCAAATTTTACAAAAAATATTATTTTTATTTACTAATCTTTCATTATCTAAATTATTTTTTATATATATTTATAACAATGTTTATACATCAAGCTACCTATTAATGTGTTAAAATTGAAATATTTTATTGACTAATTATGATTTGTACAGTTCATACTTGAAAATGACTCATGAAGTCAAATCATTGCAATAAAATAGTAAACGATTTTTTGGTGTACTTAGGCCAAAAATCATGTCAAAAGTAAACAACAATATATATAATAAGATGGCATCAAACATAAAAACTATATTACTGAAATAAGCGTAAAGCCAGAAAAGAGAAATAAGGTTATGTTATAAATGGAAAAATCCAAACTACAAAGTCATGAATCTTATAGTTAACATGCACAACGTTTCACCAATTCAGGCACCATAAGGGCAGAAAAACTATGATGACTTATATGCGAAAACGAAAAAAAAAAAGACTATAGACATCTCAGGAAGCCATCCGAATAGATAATTATGAAAGAGAATGTGCTATTAATACAGCTAAGATAGATTATATTGAACAGCTGATTATCAGGAATACAAGGAAGAAAAGAAAACAAATGCATAACTAAAATATAATATTAAAGAAACGTGTTAAGTGAGATACATATAATATCTATTTCCAACAAAACTCAGTGGATACCATTCCACAAGTAATATTACGAAAATAAGCATAAAACTAGAAAATAGACAAAAGTTTATCTTATTAATAAAAACAATAACTAGAAAAAAAAAATTATAAACCATTTTGTTTAACAGTCGTTTCCTTATCCTAAATCTCATATAAGCCGGTTGTTCATTGAAAGATAAACTGTAGAACACCGCTACCTTGCTAGAGTAATCAGTAAGTTTCCGGTTTGTTTTTATGTCTTCTTCGTGTTCCGCTTTCTTTAACTATGAGCTGACACTGGTTAGATGTAGAGTAATCGTTTTAATTGCTTCAAATACTTCCTCTTCAGTGTATTTCTCTCCATTTTGAGATTCTTGTGTTACTGAAACAAGGTACAATATGAAAATTTATTAATTATATAAAAAGAATAGCAAATAAAGAGTACAAATTGTAATCCTCATCTTTGTTATACCTTGGTTTTGTGAACCTGATAGACCTTTGTAAAAACGTTTCCGAAATATCATTTTTTTTTTTAATTTTACTCAAATACTGAACTTTTTTGAGTGCCAAAGAATTTAAATACTACTTCAGTTGATATCATACGATTAATGAAGTAGTGAGTGAATTATTAACTGAATAGTGATTTAATTTGAGTGAAATACTTAGTACTCGATATTCAGAGCATTTGCCCATATCTGTTTTTTACTATATTTTATGAATAAAGTCGAAATATTTCGACCTTGTTTTCTGCCATTTAAACTTGCAATGCGACGCTAACTTACTTTTTCGTTTTACACGTTCAAGTTTCTCGACCAAAGTTTTGTTCCAGAAATTTCAGTTAAGTAGTTTGTTTTATAACCACTTAGGCAAATCACTTTATAGAATCTTTTACACGGATACTTTTCTCGAACAATGTTGGGACTGTAGTTAAACTAGCGTTCCACTAGGTGTGCCAGAAAAGTAACAATACTATTGTGAATATTTTTCGAGAGTAGTTTCTTATTCTTATTAAAAAATTGATGAATGAATTACCATTTCCATTTATATTTACTTTATTTAATCCTCCAATTTTGACCCTATTTTCCAACTTTTAAACAGGGATGTTTTTAGAACGTGGAGTTTATGTAGTATAGTTGGCGGGTAAAGAAAAAAAAATTAACAATAATTCATGGTTTTTAAGAAAGGGCCACAGTGGTCGAGCGAGTTAGAGTGCCTGCAAACATTTTATATTAAGTTATCAAATTCTATTCGCGTGATTTAACAACAGAAAAAAGATAAAAATTAAATAATTAATAATAAATTAAAATTAATAAGTGCGGGCCCCTTCTACTACGGGTTCGATTACCGCAGGAGGACGGTAACGTGTCCCCACCTAGAGAATCATAGGGGGGTGAGCGAAAATTATTTAATAATTTTTTTTATATCTCCTAAGGACACCCTGTATATATATATATATATATATATATATATATATATATATATATATATATATATATATATATATATATATAGTACGTCGTACAGAATTCTTTTATCAAATTATTAACATCCACCTGAAATTTCGTGAATAGCTTCTTCTCATCGTAACCTACAAATATTTTATTCACGAAAAATCTTGACATTGGGGCGTTTTTAATCTGGAGGTCGACAAACTTTGTTTATTTAATTAAGTACTAAAATCTCGTAAATACCCATTTGATTACCATTTATATCGTAAGATAATTTGATTACAAAATCGAGAAAAACGTAGCCTACAAAAATATTGCGCCGTTTGGCCTACATAACATAGTTATTTTGACATTTTGGAGGTGTGAGTCACGCAAAACGGCTCAATATTTTTGGAGGCCACCTTTTTTCTCGATTGCGTGATCAGATAATCTTACGATTCAAGTGGAAAGCAAATGGGTATTTACGAGTTTTTAGTACCTAATCAAATAGACAAAATTTACCGTGCTCCAGATCGAAAACGGGCTGATTCCGAGAATTTTCGTAAGTAAAATATTTATAGGTTACAATCAGAAGTAGCTATTGACGATGTTTCAGGTGGATGTTAATAATTTAATAAAAAGGGGTCTACACCACGGACTAATATATAGATAGATAGATAGATAGATAGAAAAAAAACTTTATTCTGGGACTTAGTCCCTTTAGGATAACAAAATTGTACAAAAATAATAGAATACTACTGGCCTAAAAGTTTGAAACAATAAATAAAATTGATGAAATAAACTAAAAAGTAATGAAAACCTTAGGTGGACAAGCTATATGCAATACAGATAAAACTATGTACAAAACACTTAAAACTATGAACAAATCACTTAAAACTATGAAAAACTATATATAATGATTGAGCAAAATAAACATACACTTTGAGAAATGAAGAACGAAAAAGAGATAGAATAAGTTCATTTCATAAAAAAAATGACTTTACTTGTATATATAAAAAAAAAGTTATAATTGAATTAAAAAAATAAAATTAAAATAAATATATTGAAATTCCTACGTCGAAAGTAGGAAATACATGTACTATCTCTTACAAAGTATTATCTGTATGATTATATGATTGCTATGCAATACATATATAGTATTAATAGTTAGCTGGTATTTGACTGTTTTTGGAACAGCAATTGGAATAGGAAGTTTTTGAATGTGGGTACGGAGGGGGCATGCCGAATTTTGATCGGGAAGGAATTCCAAAACTTAACAAAGCGGGCTATAGGAGTTTTTTAATGAAGCAGATCTATGAGAAGGTCAGAAGATCGAGATCTTGAGGAGAGGGAATGGATTGAGGACTTGAATTGGGAAGATTGTAGGCGTAAGAAGGGCAATGATCGTTAATGATTTGATAAAGGAATGTGACTATGAAATATTCTTAAGGAGGGGAAGAGCCACCCTAACTCAGTGTAGTGGTGGAAGCGTCTCGGGGTTTATATATATATATATATATATATATATATATATATATATATATATAACAATATATATATATATATATATATATATATATATATATATATATATATATATATATATATATATCGGGTAGTACTGATATAATCCATGGATCTAGAATGTCTTTGAAACCAATTGATTCGGTGGGAAAGACACTACAACATCAGTCCCTAAAGAAGACATAGTCCGTAGCGACGTGAGGTTGGATGACCTCCTCCTGGTTATTTGTGCTCCCGCAAGCAATGTAGTCTGTAAGACGACCACATCTCGCGGCCAAAGATCAACATGGTCTATAGCGCCAACCGAAAAAAAAATAATAAAAAAATATATGTATATATATTGTTGTAAGATAGGCATCCAGTTACTAAGTACACCAAGCAGTTAAGTAGCTGATAAGAGGCCTAGATGGAGGGGATGGTACGTCACGGGAGTCAGATAGTACCGGCTCAGTCTGTGATGTTACTAACTGTGTACTGCCTCGCTCTGTCCCTAGTCTACAAGTGGAGGCGATGTCTCTCCGCCGGTAAGTCAGCCCTGAAGTATTCCCTAAACCTAAGGTTAGCCAGTATCCTGTATTCTGATTATGTATATTATTTAATATTAAATATAATTTTAACTAATTAAAATAAATAATAATTAAACTTAGATGAATACATAGACGATAAAATATTTTGTTTTATTTTATTCTCAGTCTTAATATTTCATTTAAAAATTAGCATGATACCGCTCATTGATTTTCAAATTAAATCCAAAATTTAGGAAAACCCCTACACATAATAAATTATCAAAAATTTGTCTATTGCTAATCGACACTAAAATCAGTAATTAGCAAAAGTGTAACATGTTATGGCGAAAATAACTTTAGAACAATAGTACATAAAACAATAAAATAAAGAAGTAATAAATGCATAAATATTGATTGGGGAATTAATTTACGCAGTTAAAAGACAGTATAAACATTGCGTTAAAAAAAAAATTGAAATATTTCCAACATATTTTTGTCATTTTACCGGCCAAATAATATTATGTTGACGCCAACAATTGAACAACGGAATAATGAAATTTTAAAAAAACACTAGTTTAATTTTTATTTTATATGATTTAAATATTCTATAAACTAGTTATATATTTCACTGCATACTGTATATTGAAAAAATAACATTGACTTATAGTTTCGTTGAATATCTTTAAAAAAACTCACTGAATGTTTACAGCATAAACGTTCAAGTCGAAAATTTTCAATTCTTGGTCTATTTAATGTTATAGTTTAAATAATCTTTTAATTAGCTATTTCACTATATAACGTGCATGATTATATGTATAATGCAGAAATATTAGAAAAAATAATATTGATATATGGTTTCGTTGAATATGTTTCAAAAAAACCCACAAAATATTCACAGCGAAAACGTTCAAGTCGATAATTTTCAATTATTGGTCTATTTGTTGTTGACCTTTAATATTTATTAAGATTTCAGGGGAAAAAAATAATTAATTTACTAAAGTGTTTAAAGGAAACTGTAAAATATATAAATTATAAATAATGTGCGATGTTTTAAATTAACATTAAAATTCGAGCTTCAGTAACAACCGTTTAGAACATATCTCAGTTTTTGCTTTCTAAAGATTTGTATATTGATTTTAAATTTTTATTTTTTTCATTTCAGTACTTGATTAATCTATTTTTTATTCTTATTTTATTAGATATTCAATAAGGGTAGTAAAAATAAATGAATAAATTTAGAGTAAAAAATAAAATTAATTCCAAATTAAAAGTTTTTTATTTTTCTATAAAATATGTATTTGCGCCTGTCAACAATAAGTTGACAATCAGCAAATGTGATGGCGATAATGATATAATGACATGATAGGCATGGGGAAGGAAAGTACTCAGCAGTACCTCTTCCCTAATTTGTTCCAATTACTTAGGTTGTCTAAGGAAGGAGATCTCTCATTCAACGCCTTTTTAGTCTCCTGCTCATGTTCTGAGGTATGTCAGCTGTGGCCATGTCTTTTATAAGTCTGTTATTATGTCCATTTAAATCAAATTAAAAGTAAAATAAAAACAGAAAGTTTCTATCTATACATACTTACTAATTCCAGAATACGCTCAAATTTTCGGATCTACAAAAAAGACACTAATTTTAAATATTCATATCGAGAATAATTACACTTATTAAGCAAACACCTCGATATATTTTAAAAAATCTTTCATTTTGACTGAATACATGCCGACTGTCAGCATATATATATATATATATATATATATATGCACTCCTAGCAAACGATTTCATGATAATTTACAGGGACAAAACAATCCCTGATAGTTAAAATGACCACTACTACATACATAACTTCACTAGGAAGATGAAAAGATCTTGGATGAGAGACCTTCTGGAACTTCCTTTTATCTTAAAAAATGTCCCGGAAGAGATATCGCTGTGTGTTTTTTTCTTCCTCATACCTGACATTCCATTATTTTATTACTGATCTTGACCGGCAACCGACTTATTTCAATATTAGAGTAGGCAAGTGTGGATATATAAATATAGTTAATAAATATAACACTAAATTTATGTCAAATAATTTTATCAAACATTTAAAGCATCGATTATCTATACATTTTTTTTTAATTAATCTTATTTTATTGAGAAATAATACATTTTGCCTCAATCCAGAGCATTGAGTATTAGAGCTGTGTTTGGCTCATCCATATCATATGTACTATAAGAAAAATTATAGCAAAAAAAAAGGAAAATGAACACTTAATAAAACAAAAGAATTAAAACTTGAGACAACATTAAATAATTATAATAAAAAACACATTCATACTTAATCTATAAATTAAATAGATAGGATTTTATTTTTAAATTATTTTGTAATTCTTACTGTCTGTATGAGATAATAATGTGATTTTTTTTCGTTTGATTCATAAATAAACATGATTTTTTTTTTTTTACAAATTTCATAGAAGTTCACAGCGCCGAATATTTACTTCACGGAGCTAAACTAAACATTTCTCCGATAAATATTTATTTTTAATTTCAATTCTGTTTACTATAAATATTTATATTTAATTTTAATTCTGTTTACTATGCTATACCATTCATTATGAAGATTTGCATATATTTTGCATTTCAAAAACACATGGTTTATATACCGCTGATTATACACGTGTATTACAACACACTTCATTTTATCTATTTGATCGAGCTAAAAATGACCTGGATGTTAACTTTCAAAATTTAGGATATTGTTTCACGGGAGATTAAGTGTTAGCTACTTCTTTCTTACTTCCTCAATTTTTATTTTTTTTGGGAAAAAACATGGTCATAGTGAATAATATACAAATATAATAAATAATTAATATAATTGTTTATCTTCAACGTTTTATCGTTGTTATTATTACTTTCACTTACCTATATGTGAAATATATAGTAAAGTATTGCGATCGTGGAAATTTTCTAATCTCAGTTTTCAACGGAAATACACGTTTTGTGGTTCCCATGGTCCAAATAACCAAGTCTCGCAAAATAGAAATAGAAATAGAAAATAACTTTATTCTGGGACAAAGTCCCTTTAGAATAACAAAATAGAACATAATTAAAGTACTACATCTGGCCAAAATAAAACAATAACTAAAAAGTGAAAGTAAAGAAAATATTAGTTAAACAAGCTATATACAAAAAAAAAATCTATATACAAAACACTTAAAACTATGATAAAACACTTAAGACTATGTACAGTAGGAAAACTATAATTATACTCTTTTGAAAAATAAAATAATAAAAAATACATTGAGTTCTTCTTTAAAATGAAGTGAGTTTCTGCTTACAAAGAAAAGGCAAAGCTGATAATATAAAATATCAGTGTATTTAAATAATGAATAATATGTAGACTCATCATTGTCAAACGCTAGCTATAGGTACAGATTTAATTATATACCAATAAAAAATAATAAAAAAAACAAACAAACAATAGATGCGGTGAGTGGAATTAAGATTTAACAATCTAGCTAAAAAAACGAAAATTCGTACGAAAATGAAACTGCATGTTTAAGGTTTTTATATGCTAGGGATGTCACAACTTTTTCGTCAAAATCGGCTAACCGGAAGTGGTACTTTATATTAGACTAAGCACATTTTTAAGATTTTCTCAAAAACGGCTCTAAAGATTTTGTTTAAATTTATCATATCAGTGTTAAATTAAGCAGTTTTAAATAAAATTTAGTTTTCATTCTGATTGATATTCTCTAACAGGGATTAAATGGTTAATTTTCAATATTAGCTTTCCTTAAAGTACCTTTATTTTTTTTATTTGAAACAATTGACCATTTCACATTCATCTCTAGTATAAAAGATAGTTAAATATAAAATATGATAGAATTTAATAATTAACTAAAGGAGAAATAACAGATCGTAACGAGAATATTTTTAATTGAGGAACCGGGAATCCGAGCTCGTCTCAAAGATTTTAACAGGCTTCCATACGTAACATGAGCTTAATATAATACGGACTCCAACAATAATATACGAATATACATATGTGGTTTTCATAAATGCTATTGTTGATATTATTTAATATTTAATTGAATAGATTATAGCGATATAAATATTAAAATTTGTAAATATAAGTGTATACAAATACCCACAATGAAATATAAATAAATATAGCGGCTATGATTTTAACTTTCACTTTCCCTTTGTTTGAAAATACTTATTTTTGCTAAAAAGAGGGTGGTAAGTGAAAGTTGTGTGATGCGCGCACTGCACCAGACTTTTATAAGAAGCGAAGACGCCATACTTGTTTACTTACTTATTATTATTGTCCGTGATTTTCTGATTCATTCTACATTTTCCGCTTCTATTCAGAGTGCGTTAAGGCATGATTTAGCATTTTTACGAAGGCTGAAAATTCTGTACATAAACGACTATTCCTTTATGTATTCCTGTATTGGGGCTAAGTAAACAGTTGATGTTGATCTTAGTTGAGGTGAACTCTACTTATGGCCACATCACAAGTTCAGCAAATTAAAGTTAAGTATGCAATTGTTTTATTAACAATAAATCTGTAAATATCATAACTACCTTATGAACAGACTGCATTTCTACAAATAATGCACTTTAACTCTTATTGGAGTACAAACCGTACATTTTTTTTAAATATTTTCAATATTTGCGTAAGAGATTTTGGTTTATTATTTTCAATAATGAACCATTATCATCTTCCTAAAATGCAAAAATTGTATTCCCTCTCTTCCCCTTAGAATTTAATGTTTTATGTTTCACGATACGTAGAATTGGAAAATTGAATACAAAAAAAAATTGTCTGTCCGCCGTCCGCGGTTTTTCTCCGAGAATACTGGGTCTTTTTTTTTTTCAAATTTCGAATCAAAGTCAGAGGTCAATCGAGGATTCTCCTACCTCGACATTACTATTCACCCTTTCTTTTGAAGATGGAAGCCGAAAAACCTGTGTTAGTATAGACTGTAGCGCCTAAACAAATAAACCAGTTTCAATGAAA